TAAGGACCGCAATTAGGCAATTAAGGCAATGGAATAATTTTAGGGGGTCAATTAAGTACAGCAGTGTTTCGTAAGACATCAACACGAGTCTTACATCAGTCGTGTTAACCCCCTCTGGCCATATCCACCCACTTCTGAATTGTAACACAGACCTCATCTTTCAGCAGCAGGACTGATGAGACAAATGAGCGCGTGTGATTAGTCGCTGCTGCCCAGGCTCTTCGGCCATGGTCTGTCAGACTGGCCAGAATGTGCCAGAAAAGCTGGGGGGTGGAAGCAACCTTTCCCGAACCAATTACTCACCCTCAGTTTCAAGCTTTTCCTCTATTGTGACAGGCTCCGACAGCCAGGCTCTTTAAAATCTATTAACCTCCGTAGCAAAATACTTTCCCCAAACGACTGCGGAATAATTAAGGAAGGAGAGGTGCAGTGAGGCGTGCAAATTGATGCAGTCCCAAAAATAAAAACATATGTTAGCGGTAAGCGACCAGGGAGCTGTAGCGAGTGTTTATGATGTTGGATCGCGTTCGGAGAGCGGGAGGGAAATATCATCATTAGCGGCATGCTGCGCTCCTCGCTCATACAGACTTGCTAATGCATTCTATACGGACGCCAGTATTTGCACAGGACTGACAGGACAATTATCAAAGTTCAGCTGCCAAAGCAGTCTCAGAACAGCACCCCCACCTTCCCAACACACACACACACTGATACTGGCACACCGGGATCACAGACAACCCCATTTTCACTCATATTTGCACCCCCTTGCACACTCACTTCCACCTACTCCCATGCAAACACTTCAGACCTACCAGCACCCACTTATTCCTTCACACACACTTAAACCCCACACACACTATCGTTCCCACACACACACCTAAGCAACATCACCCACACCAAAAAGCACACTTCAGTGTAGCACTAAATGGTTCCATGCAGTTGACATGTGATGAGGGACATATTAAGACTAATAAAGGGTCTTTAATGGCTTTTGGTTTGAATGTGGGTCCATGACATGGCATGCATTCTTTGTGTCCATTATTTTCCTTTTAAATAATTTAATATATACAATCATATATCACTAAATTCTACAATACCTCCTTTACATGAATACATTCTCAGGGTATAAATAAAATTCATTTTAGGCATTTATGCCTTTCAAAGTCTAAAAAGGTGGTGTGACTGCCCAACCATATATCCAGGTCAAATTGAACTATTAAACTATTAAAATGTTCTCAAATAAAATTCTAAATAAAATAGTTTGCCATGATTTTCAAAATCATAACATGTTGCAAAATAGTATTTAACTAATTGAAAAACATTTGTCCATAAATTCTAATTTCCTCATATGTCACATGGCTCAACCAACAATAAAGGACATTTTTTTTTTGACAGGCTTTTAAGAAACAGCAGGCTGGTTATTGCACTATAAAGAAGACCCTTAATGACTTTTTGGGTAATGGTTAGGAGGTTTGGTTTACCAGGTCAGGTCAGGTGACATGGAAACCATGAAAATGAGTTATTATGTTCATTTATTCGAAGAAATAAGAATATATGTATAAACTCGAGTTCAAGGACAAAGGTTCATATGGGTGTCGAAGTACTAACACAATATTTACACACATTTTCAGTAGTATTAAATAACTTTCAAATATAATTATTTTGATTTTTCATGTGTGGTTGTGCCGCTTGACATTTTCTGGGTGGTGAAATTGATTATCCTGTTTAAAAATGAATTCATACTTTATAAAAGCCATGGAACATATATTAATAGTTTTGATTAAATTGTTGGAGATACAAAAATACACACAATATGATTTTTATTATGTACTTTTGTAAATTATCATTATTAAAGCTTAATTTGTCATTGGCTCTTGTTCTAGGCAAAACCCTTAATAGGTATAGAACTTTTACATTATGTGGTGATTCTTTAAAAAGAGACTTGCACATCTCATTTAAAGCCAAAACACACAAACAAAACATTTTGTGACAAACACCGACATTATATTGTTTTCCTTAGAATGTCCAGGAAAAGAACTGACAAGCCTGAATGAAGCAAAAGCAGAAGAGATTCTCCCAAACGCAGGTATGGCAAACCAACCTGTTTCTAAGAGTTTGATTGGTGTGCTCCAAAACCAAAAATTGGTTATTGTATGGCATTGCACAAAGGAATCCTTAATAATGCCTTTATAGGTCAAGGTGTAGACTCATACCCTTAAAAGCAACATGAAAAAAGCAGCGTGGCAGACGTCAGTGACCCTCTCTCTTGCACACCTTCTCTGTCATGCTTCGGTGGGCCAGGTTGACCCTCAGTTGACCCAGGCCAGTGCAACTGAAGCTCTTGCACCTACATGGACGCTCGATTTGAGTGTTCAGTACTGCCTGTGGCACAGTAAAGTAAGTAATTGTAGCTCAACTGAGAAGTTTAAGAAGTCCATCCCCCCAGCCCCAGTGGAGTGGGTGTGATGAGAGCTAGAGAAAATGAGGAGAGAAAAAGGAAGTGTCTTGGACCCTCTAAAAGACTTCTAGATGTGGGCCATCCAGCCAGGCCTCTGCCTCACCTTCCGATTCAATAAGATGCAGATGCCACTCCCTGCCCCCCCTCCTCACAGTCGATATGTTCGTGTCAGAGATGAAAGAGGAAATAGGTGGGGAAGCAATGCGTGTGGTGGGGGGAGCCCTGACACTAACATAGTAGATTGGGCTTTACTTATAGAACTGTGAAGTTCTTTTGTCAGGTTTAAAAGGTCTTATAAGCCTTTGAACAAGTGTGTGTGACCGCCCCTCAAAGATTTCTTCTTTTTTTTTGCCTCCCTTTTTTGCCTCCTTCATTCAACTTCAGCAGCGGCAATCTCACAGCATTCCTGATGGTCACCACACCGATTCACTGAAGAAAGGGAGAAGAAACTGAGACCTTCAAATGTTCGTTAAAATCTTTACCTCATGAGCTTACTCAATTTTTCAGTCGTGGCTTTTTTGCCATAGAGATTTTTCTCAAAATGTTCTTGATATTTTCTGTCTTTGTGTGAAATAGCATGTTATAAGATCCTACATTATTGCACTTACAGAGTTTGAGGTACTGTCCAAATCTGGTTTGGTTTTGAGACAGAATTCATAAGAAATTCAGAAGAAACAAAAGCTGCAAAACTTTTCCAACAAACATCTTTGGAATCTAGCACTTCTTATCACTTCCTAAAGCTTTGTCTTCTAAGTACTACTGTTTATGCAAATGAAATCAGCCAATTCACAGCACAAAAAAGGAATGTATTTGCATATAGCTACTTGAGACTTTTTTTTTTATTTCTTGCTCATAATTTAGTTGAGCCCTAATCACCTTCAATATAGATATCAATATTTTAAAATGCAAATGAATAAAATGTGTAATTTTGCCCCAAATGCAAGATAATAATATGAAAATAATAAATACACTAGATGCTCTAATAATACAGATGCTCCCTTGCTATTTTCTAGCTCAAAGACTTGGTACTCTTCCTCTGTACTTTTTTCCCCCCTTTCCCCACATCAATGCACTGTAAATCTGTTAACTGCCATGCTGCAGAAAGTGAAGATTACAATGGGTACAGTGGGTGCAGGTTATGTGTGCCCCTCTGCCAGCAGTGGAGAAGTGGTTGCTCTCCGATTGCCCACACCAGACCTGATCTCATTCAAGTGTTGAAGGACATGCCTTTTACTGCTTTTGTTTTGGCTGTTCTTTAATGCACCCGCAAGCACCAGGTGATGCACACATCAAAGGTGTGCGGGCACGCTTCACCTCCATTTCTCAGATTTATACCTGCGAGTGCTGAGAGACTGCACAGTGCTATCATTACGGCTTTAATTAATGTTTAATGCCCACTCCCTGGCCTCTCTCAGTGCCACACTTCAGGCACTTTAATTGCGTTAGACTGATGAGGAGAAGCATTTTGGAAATACACCAGCCTGATGCCCCCAGACATTGAGTGAGAGTACACAGTAGTCAGGAGCATGTCTCCGTGTTTATTTATGTAAGACAACAACATTCACCCCCCACCCCTTTGTAAGTTCAGGATCAAGCTCATAGATTTGAGAAATAAAAGAAGTAAAAGCCAAAGCCTAGTGGAGTTATTACAGCCTGTTTGAAAAGGACTCAGTGGACACAAGCTGGCTTTACAAAGGAACAAATGTAGCTGTAAACTGTTTGTCTTTTCAGACGTCTCCTATTGTTGAGCGTCAGCACTTCAGCGGTGTAATGAGGGAATAAGCGTGGGGGCCAGCGCTCACAGGCCTGCTGCACTCATTCACACCTCGCGCGCATTTCAATGCCACATAACTCATAGCACAATATTGGAAAACGCAGCTCGACGGCCGCTTGCATGTCAATAGTGTCTGAGAACGCAGCGCGGAATCCACAAAACGAGTGAGTGGGGAAGAGCCCAGGCCAGCTTCTCATGGGTGAACGGCAGAATAAACGCATTGGATGGATTTCAGAATGGTGCAAATGGAGCTTTACGCAAGACATTTAAGACATTTGCCCAACATTAAAAATAATAAAATATATAGATATATATATGTGTATAGAGAGAGCGCAGAAAAGAATAACATGGGTGCAATATTACTGTTGTTTGCTGATGTAAGTTTTATTGTTTTTTTTTTATAATATTTGTCGATGTTGTTTACTGTGCGTTTTTTTTCTTTATCACCCTATTTTTTGCACTTCTCTGATAAATGGCTTCGTCACGCTACATTCTGCCATTCTTCAGTTCAGAAATGCACCTGCGCTGTATTCCCACACATTTCTGTGGAAAGTGTGAAGAGTTTCCGTGCAGCAGACTGTAGCTCACACTTGAACAGAGCTGAGAGAGGCAGGCAGCAGCGCGCGCTGCCAAACCCCTTTTTTTTCCCCCGCGCGCTCCTGCTCCCTTCAGCTCATCCTATCAGGTGCAAACCGCTGACAGGTTTCCACCCACCGCCAGCAAAAAGCCCCCGCAGCAGCGCGAGCGCAAAAAAAGCCTCCGCGCCACGCGCTGCGCTCACACGAAGCCCTCTCGCACGCGGATCCGCCGCCTTTCCCATCACCGCCTCCTGGATAACAGTCAACTCTCAACTCCAGCTCGGTCTTCCCATTTTTGTCCCAGATCGTTCTCACCGTGACGGACCGGAACAGCTTTGCTTTCTTTCTTTCTGTCTTTTTTTCCACACTCAGCGCACGCGGAGCGAAGAGTTTAGGATGAGCGAACGGAATCTAACTGCTGCTCAGTGCTGGACCGACGCTGCTTAAGGGGGACAACTTCCAGCGGAGTTCTCAATCTTTACTTACTCTTTTTTAGCGTGCGGAAGGAAGCGTCAGTCCCGGTGAGGCGCGCGTGGTGTGAATTGAATCTTTCCGCGCTTTGAAGAGAGACACAGAGAGAGAGAGAGAAAGAGAGAGAGAGGGGTGCATAGGGTTCTTGGGGGGGAAGAAACCGGCACTGTCCATTCTGTCCATTCTCACTGAGCCTGATGGTGCGCGCAGAGGCTCGCGCGCACTCCCTCTGTCTCTCTGAGCGGGACTGCAGCTCTGCGCCGGGATTCGCTGGCTGAGGTGGCGGGGGCTCCGCGCGTGCTTTATTGGGGCGGCCAACGGTGGAAACAGGTGGATCTGACCAAGATGTCTGGGCTGCCTTCGAGGTTCATCTACGTGTAAGGAGCGCTTTTTCTTCCCAACAGAAGTCTCTTAAAGCCACACTGGGCCCTCTCGAGCTCCAGTACCTTTTAATTCGTGTTATTACTTGTGATTTATCTCTCTCTCTCCCTTTCTCTCTCCCTCTCTCTCTCTCTCTCTCTCTCTCTCTCTCTCTCTCTCCAGGTGTTTACATTTTCTAGTCCTCTACTTCCAGCTACAGGTAAGTCTGATTGTGTTTCAGTGGTTGTTAATCTGGATTAAATTGGGGATTATAAGGATTTGCCACGAATTTGCAAATTTAGCTTAGTCTGAAAAGTGAGATTAGCGTGGAAAACACGGCCGCACAAGAGGGGTTTGGATTAGGATTGCTGGAGGTATGCCACTCCTCTTTTAAAATATTAGTGTACCTTACGTTTAATTAAAATTCCCCTTTTTAAATAATTCATTCATTTACTAGTGTCTGTGTAAATGTTATGCAAAATAATAAGGTGAAATAAATATTATACAAAACATAATAATTCTTCTTTTTTCTCATTGAAAGAACTCATTGAAAGTGAACTAAGAGAAACTTTGCAGATCTCTTGCAAATGTTGAACCTGTAGATGAATAATAAATAATGATTTAGTAATGTAATAAATATATCATTAATAATAAACTAACACTGTTATTAATAATAGATAATAATGTATATAAATATATATTGATTTGAGTGATGTCAAATCACAAAATTGATAATAGTAATTTCATCATTTTGAACATTACAAAAGCCCCCTTTTACATTTTTTATGTTGCTTTGATCAAATCAGCATAATTTGTGAGAGTAATTTTGCACCTTAAATCAAATAAAACTAACAAAAAGACAGAAGAAAGCTAAAACCTGCCTACTGAATCTCCAAAATTAGGAGCTAAACTGAAAGCCATCTATTTCAAATGCTTAGAGATTTATTCAGAATGCACTAATTATATGACTGTCAATTGATATGTCTCTACAAATATACATCTGCTTGAAATTAATAGCTGCAGATATTTCTGAAAATACAGCATATAAACCTTTATTGTAACCTTCAAATTGACCTGTGCAATCTGATTATAAAACCTTGAATTAGCATATCATAGGAAGCATCTACAAAGACAACCCTCAAATAATGAACAAAAGCAGCTGATTTGAAGGAGATGTAACTCAAGCGGGTTATATAACTCTACGTGCCCATTTTTGTTCCAAAGCAGTTGGCGCAAACAAGGCCATAGTGTAGGGCTGTCTGATTCCTCTGTGTTTTTGTGTCAGTAATTACAATACTAGTGCTTTAATTGCAGGCCAGGCTATGGTCAGATACATGCAAGTGTGTAAATGCTTCCTGCTTTTTCTTCTTTAATTCCATCAGGCGGTGTTTTCTTGTGGGTTTGGTCTTTATCTTTTTCTCTTTCTTTTTCTTTCCTTTACGGAAATGCTGGAGAATCAATGCTGTGATAAGTCTATAAGAGCAGGGCTGAAGTGGCAGTGCATTGATGCGTTGTTTCCTGAGCTTCCAGTGGAGAATGGTGTCTGCAGATAGGGCCCTTTTGGACATGCAAGAGTGCGCAGCTTCTTAGCAAGGATGGTGCCGATCTTTTGAAGTCTCAATGATATCCATTTCGCTAGGATGGCTTTGAAGGGAGACAGGTCGTGTGATAAAAAAATGTTTCGCATGGCTTTAGCCCGGGCTCTCTGTATAGGCATGCCCCATTTTCCTGCTTGCGTTGAGATGCAACTGTCTGCAGAGCACACCTCAGTGTTTGACTAGAGATGGAGAGATTTCAGAGCAAATCCCTCAAAGGAGAGGCTGTATGTATGTGTTTTCCCTCATGTGGATAGTGCGTGTGGGCTTTATGTCATGACGGAACCACTCTAGAAGAGAATCTGACCTTGTTTCTGCGATAAACTCTATGACACATATCCTGTATGTGTGCATTTATGCTACGGTTATATAACTCTGAAAAGAAACCCCATACAACATCAGGGCAGGAAACCTCATGTAGATTATATTTTTCACACATTGATTTTTTTTTTGCTTGTTTTGCAGTGTCATGGATGAAGACTTCTATTTTTTTATCGTAATGGTTTATCATGTAAGATGCAGTACTTGCAGGCCAGGCATTATGTCTGTTTTTTTGTTGTATGCGAAATACAAAAAGGCCTTTGTGTGCAGCTGATATACACTTATATATGATATACTATAGACAAGCTATAGTAATTTGCTACTTAAAGGGGAATTCCACCAATGTTTCAAAAGTTTTGCATAATTAAAGGGTTAAGATGTAAACAAAACCATTTAGAGTGGTTCGGTGTAAAATATAGTGTTCTAGAGAAATTCACTGATTTAGATTAGTTCACAGTGGTGGTGATAGGAACTAGACATCTGAAACAGTTAATGCCTATAAAAGCTACATCATAGATACTTGTTATATGAAATGAGCATGAATATGCTACCTGGTGCTTGAGACATTGTTTTATGATAGTTTTGAGATAAGCTTCTGGCCTAAAACATATTTTTTAAAACACATTTGTGGAGAGATACATGCATGGTGTTTTTAGCTAAAAATAGTACCCAAAGCAAAGCAAGTATATTATTTCAGATTTAGCACTATTTTACCATCATCAAAAAACTGTAGGTTCACTGGTCAATTTGATAGTAAATTAAATTTCCTATCTTTATGTGTTTATGTGTAGACATTGTGACCTCTGGTTCCTATCACCACCGATGTGCAATGAAACATTTCACATTGAACCATTCTAAATGAATTACTCACATCTTAACAATTTAATTATGCAGACATTTTGAAAAATAAATAGAATTTCTGTTTTGATGATTGGTACAATATAACATATGGTTTAGTGTGGCTGTGGAGATGTGTTCTAGCATTAAAAGTGACAAAAATTTAGCATCTTCTCGGTATATTCTGTACACTCAGTTCTCACAGTTGAGTGCACACGCGGCCCAGTGGAAGTGCCTTGTTTCTCATCTCTGCATTGAAGATTTGTTCTGCCATGAGTGCATTTCCCCTCGCACGCTCTAAATGTCATTAATTTGCTGAGGTTAAAATAACAGCGAGTCGGAGTATGTAATGTGTATATAATTAGCCACCTGAGAGCAGCCACATAAAAGCCCATTACTGGGTAATTACCACTCATACAGCTGGGGAGAGCAGGCTTGGCTAGGGCAGAGAGATTCCAGGGGTTTCGAAAGTATACGTTTTCCTCGTATGGACGGATGACAGGAGATGAGAGCAGAAGAGGATAGGAGGAGAAAGCTGGAGAAGAGTGGAAAGATTGTGTGCATGGCTGTGTATTTTGTAGCTCGAAGCCTCAGGTGACTGGCAGAGCGTATAAACTATGGGAATGAAAATGAACGCCCTGTATTGAAAGATCCCTCAGGTTGTATTGTTTTATATGATGTGAGTGTGTATGGGTGTGTGTATGCATGTCTCGCTGCAGATGTGTCTGCATGAATGTCTGTTAGCGTGTCTGCATATGTGTGTGTGTGTGATTTATGAGAGTAATTCTGACCTCAGGCAGATATTTGTTTGATGACAGGGAAACAGGTCCCGATCCTTCAGGTGGATAATTGCTAGTGGCTTGCTTTGCTGGTGGAAATGGAATACTTGGTTTTTGCAGCTTAGCTCCGGGCACATAGTATTAAGCTACTTTTCTCACAGAGATGAACACAGAACAGTAATCTGGAAAAATGCTTTGTTTTAGTGAAGGCTAGCAAAAACTGAGCTGAAGCAGTGTGTAAGCTTCCCATGTTAAACATTCCTCTTCAGTTTGCTTTCAGAATGGGTTCTGAACAAAACGCACAGTGCTTACAAAGGAAATTGAATTCATAGTCAAGTTCAAATACCTTTTAGCAACATGCCTTGTCAAAATGATTGTATTCCCTTTTTTTATTCCCAGCATTTTTCAACATCATGTCCACACACAGGTAGTTTCAGCATCTGCCTGTTGACTTGTACTGTGAATAAGTAAAGTCAACAAGTCTTCTGTTTTTTTTTTTTTTTTTTTTTTTTTTTTAAATACAGGGAAATGTGTAGAAGTTATTGTCTAGGGGAACTAGCCATAATCTACAGATACGATAGATGGAGAATAGGTTGAAAAATGCTGGAATATTTCTTTCCTTTAACTTTATATGATTTAATATAATGATGTCCAACTTTTATACGCTTTACTATGCAAACACATAGATAAACGCTCTGCTTCTGCCTCCAGGAGTCTCACCAGAGTTCTGCAGACTTCCGCTTCTACATTGAGAACCACACTCGGGACGACGTGAGTCGGAAGCAGGTGCGGATATACCAGCTGTACAGCCGGACCACGGGGAAGCATGTGCAAATTCTCGGCAAGAAGATCAACGCCAATGGAGACGATGGGGGCAAGTACGGTACGGGGGTGTTCCTGTGCTTTTCCACTGCTTTAACTAAGACTGATATCCTTACATGAATATTACTAAACATGTATGCCATGTGTGTGTATATATATATATATATATAGAGAGAGAGAGAGAGAGAGAGAGAGAAAGAGAGAGAGAGAGAGAGGGAATACAGTCAGATCAAACCTCCTGATTTTCCTGTATAATATGTCCATGTTAAGTCTGTGTCTTAATCATCGCTAGAGAAAGTTCAGCATCCACTGCGAGCAAGTGTCTAGGAGGAGGGATTTGTGGGTAGAGATAAGCACGGTAAACGCAAGACTGAGCTGCGCTGAGTGATACAAGTGTGTTTACATCCGACCTCATTTTCAACCGTGTCAGCCAGAGTCTTGCTCTGTGCAAGCGTAACTCCCCAACAGATCCGTGGTCTTAGCTGTGCCTGAGCGCTGTTGTGTTATTATGGCGGGGAACCGGCCTGTGCTGGGTCTGCATGATCAGGTGAACGCTGATTGCTGTTTTGGGTCAGGCTGGGGAGTTTTATTGCCAAAATGGTTTGATGAGTGCGTGCAGTGCTAAGTGCTAGTGTTGGGTTGTTATTGAGCAGAAAATGTCTAGAGTTAGTGTTGGACTGTAAATGGAACAGAATAGGGCTTTTTGCAATGTTTAGGCAAATTAGAATAGAATTGGTATTAGCTTTACAGTGAAAGTTAGCACTGTGCTGTGAGGGGAGCTTGTGAAGGTTCTTTAATGTCTGCGAGAGCAGGAGTGGAGGCAGATCCAGGTAAATCCCCACACCTGGGAACTTTTTGCCTCTTAGCAACACAAAGACACCACTAATTCACTACGACTGCTTTGTGTTCTAGTAAGCACAAGCCTTAACCCCTTAAATGGTTAATATCCTACATTTTTCTTACGACATTTGTGTGGCGTTATGTACTAAAACAGTCATTGTTCATTTTTACCTACTATTTTGTTTTTCTTAATGTCACATATGTAAATTAAATGACGTCTCTTGTGTTTCGCTACAATGTATTTTACTCAATAAACAGTCCAGGCTGAAACACACCTAATAACTTCAAAGTGAATGGGCAGAGTTAAGCTGCTGTAGGCTAAGTGGATATGTCTAAAATCATTGGCATTTGTGACAAAACAATTCAAAACAGGCAATTTTTGCAGCTTAATTTCCATATCTGGGCCACATATGAATGTTGCAATGTATAAGACAAAGTTCACACACCACAATAACCTCTTCTGTTACAGATATTGAATTTGTATGATATGGGCCCTTTAAATGATAAGGGTCCATATGTAGGACCACACTTCAGAACTACATTACTTAAAATGCATTAGTAGTTACTGAATACTTGATAGTAGTTAGTAGTTTCTGAATAATTTATCTTATTTACTGACTATATATATATATATATATATATATAATATATTTATTTATATTCCAGCTGGTTTGCACAGGCCGTTTACAGAACACATTGCACAGTTGTAACAGATGTAACCACTGATTTTTCTTCTGAGCCTTTGCTGTTTGGTTCTGCTCTGGCAAACATGTGCAACAGATGTATGGCCCTCAGAGCAAGAAGTATGTCAGACAGCTTTTCAAAAATGCCTTGAGCAAGCATAAGCCTATTATACAGGAGGAACTTCTTAAGCAGTCTAGGAATATATGTTATATCTATCAATTTAGGGGGAAAAAAATAGAGCATTCAGTTCAAGGGAAACAGGTGTACTCTGTGTACTCTACACCCCCCATACATTCCATCTGCCCTCACTTATTTTCTTCAGCTCTGCTTTTTCAACTATCCCCCTTTTTAAAAACGTCACCTCCTTATCCGCTGGCCTAAGCTAAGGAGAGGGATATTTCTCTCATGCTCCTTCACAAATCTCAAGTGCTCTGCCTGAACTGGTTCCCCCGCTCGTTGTACTCGGAGCTGTTTTTAAAGGGGGACAATTTCGGCATTGCCCTCAGAGCCCCCTGCCTTTGAGCTCCACTGAATAGCTCTGTGTGTTAAGCAAATGGATCATCTTAACTTTTTGATTGAGTGAGCAGGGACTAAAGGCGACTGGAAACCCAATCCCCAGGGATCTTAACTGCTCCAAGAGGTTTGGCAGATAGCTCCCCCTGGGAGGGGTGAGCCCAAACAAAGGTGGCTAAAGAGAGAGAGAGGGAGAGAGAGAGAGGTGTGCAGGGGGGGTGGTGATGCTGGACCTTCTCAGCATTTGTTTGCGTGTGGTAGAATTTGCAAAATCTTTAGAATTATGTGAATTTATTTGCCTCACAGCATGTTTTCTCAATATTGAAGTTTTGTAGCACCAAATCTGCTGTACTGTTCTAAAAAGTGAAATCTGTATGAACAGGGACATTCTCATTTCATTCTGTTTTTTTTTCTTTTCTTATAAGAATGTGTATCTTCTGTTTTATTCCAGCACTCCTCGTGGTTGAGACAGAGACATTCGGAAGTCATGTTCGAATAAAAGGAAAAGAGAGTGGCTATTATATCTGCATGGACAAGAATGGCAAAATTATCGGCAAGGTAAGAGGAAGAATTACAGGCAGAAGTTTAACTGAAATATGTTTCTGCCCCACTAAATACTTTAGCAGTTGAAAAACAGGGTAAATGATTAACTGTTGGTCAGGAAATAATGAGTAATTCTGCCAAAAATAGATTTTTTAAAGAAAGCAAAAAAAATGCTTTGATCGGCTTTGATCTCTTGTTTGCAAGCCGTTACATAAGAAACTCAGACCACCGGTGCATTTGTCATTTATAGCTTGAAGTAGCAACTCATTATGATGTCAATTAGTGGCCTCATTAACGCAACCGAAAAGCACTTTTGCTGTGTGATCACTAGGAGGCATCACATACAGTAGCTCAATGATGTACACTGTGGATGTCATGGTCCAGTCCTTGAGGCAGTTGAACTACACAGTCTTGTTTTTTTTCTTACTGTGTAATTGTAGCCTTTAACTTAAAACTCCAGATTTTCACTTATTTCTGCTGAAATTCATTATACAGGTGAGTAGAAGTGTTAGTTTCTTGAGGGAAGCATGATAACAACACAATAGTGATAATGTCTTTCATGCCTTTTTTGCTGTACTGTAGAATTGATGACATGCTTTTCAAAACCACTGCAGCTGCAATGTTGGCAAAGTAACGAGTCAGGGCTTTCTGGGCCACCCCATTCAAATTCAGCAATGTTTCACCAATGTCCGCGCAAATCAAAGCGGACGCCTGAGTCTGGCTTCAAGGTGAAAATGTGTCATTTGCTTTCCATGTTCTAAAGGCTGCCATACCGCAAACACATTTGAGATGGAAAGAGCAACACCCCCTTTTTTAGCCAGGAATAGTACATTCCATCTTTCTCAGGCTTGTTTGATACCGGCCATAAGCATCAACTGTGGCACTGTTCCAGTTTCTTCTTGGCAGAGAGATCTGCTGGTTTGATGGTATTTGCTGGTTGGTTATTACTGATTTGTGTATACAGCACAGTAGAGCGAGAAGCCAGTCGTAAAAGCACATCGGTTACAGTTTACTGTCCACTTTCATTTCAATTCAAGCACTAAAAAAAGTTTCCAGACATTCAGACTGTAAGCTGGGGCTGAGGCCACCATAGTTTGAGCTGTTTTGAGGGATTTCCATGCTTTTTGGCAGCTCTGCTCTACAGCCCATGTTTTTCAAAATTTTGTTGAGATGTACAAGTTAGAGGAGGATCCCTTCTCACCCCTTTGCAACCCAGCTGGTATGCCATTGTTCACTTGAATTGCCTGATAATAAGGAGCAGCAAATTAGATCTTGTGGAAGATTTTTTTTTTTTTTACTCCCAACACCTTTCTATTGTGGTTGGCTTTAGTACCTCATAAGTACCTCAGCCGATGAGCTGGGGAGAATTGCTCAACAGGTGGGCCTCATCTGACATGTTATTTTCTCTCCCCTGCAGCTCAACGGGAGTAACCCGGAGTGTGTGTTCGTGGAGGAGTTCTTGGAAAACAACTACACAGCGTTAATGTCTGCCAAGTTCAAAGGCTGGTACCTGGGCTTCAACCGCAAGGGCCGGCCCAAGAAAGGCTCTCGGACCACACAGACACAGCAGGAAGTGCATTTCATGAAGAGAGACCCCAAGGGGAAGGTGGACCCTCAGGAGGAGTTCCGTTTCACCACGGTAACGAAACGGACACGTAGGGCGCGGCGTTTAAGGCCCAACCCCAAAACGAACTGAGGTGGCACGGACTTAGCATGCACTGTTCCTTTTTTTGCGAACATCTCAAGCTTCTTGCCTTAAAGCAGCGTAAAGACTATTGCGACTACGCAGCAGGAAAACGAACGATGGCTACAGGAGATAAAAAGCTTCAAAAAAGAAAAGATGTTTTATTTTTATATTTCAGGAGCTTTGAGTATCTCCCTGTTGAATGTTTCTGGGTTATCATTAATGTAATATTGTGTCTGTTACTTTATTTATATTGGATAAACTAAGGATGACAAAAAAGGAACTAATGTCTCCTGCATCGACAAGTTTACAGCAGCAGGCATCCTGTTGAAAGGAAGAGAGATTTGACTACACCTGAGAAAAAAAACTTCTTATTTTCATATTGAGTTGCCCCTGACAACTAGGATCCAATATTTTCCACTGGAATGGGCTGTCATGGAGATGCAATGACAGAGTGATAACAGCAGTCACATGACCCTTACAGGCCTCCATAGGTAAACGTGAAGCTTCGAGTGCAATATTTTGAAGGCCCCCTTTTTTCTCCCTTCTTCATCTGCTGGATGTGTTCCTCTGGGCAGCCCTTGCTCCGAGCCTTGCAGTCCTTTCCGCAGGTAAAATGTGCGCAAATGCACGGAGCACTGTACGGTTCCTTTATACATTTTTGTGCAACCTGTGATTCAGCAGAGCACAACATGCTTTGACTAGCCAGGCATCGGCTATGGCGGTAGTTCTTGTTAAAACAAACAAAGAGAAGCCTTGAGTTGAAGGGACTGGGAGAGCGAAGCGTGTTGATTTGATGAGAACCTTTTGACCTTTCTTGCTGTAAAGTGATGCAAAGGTTACGAGAATGCACTGTGATGACAACGGGCTTGATCTCAGACGCTAGGATACATACACAGTGTACTTTTACAGCTGCGAACTGTTTCTTTTCTAAGCGACACAGGATTCACAGCATAGAAGAATTGTCCTAAATCAGTTTAGCAGTCCATGTCCCCAACAGATTTGATGCATTGTGCTCAGTTCCTGTACTATGAACACTTCTCTTGGTTAATAAAGCCTATGTTATGCCCAAATCAGATCAGTCAGCCTATAGGCTCAGCTAAGCAAGTTCTGCTCTATTCTAGATTTCCATTTGTGAACTCCTTCTCTCTCTGATGGGTTAAACACAAGTGCATACAGTATGTAGAAGACATATGTTCATTAAAGCTTTATACAGGACCATTCTGAACTGAGCTACAGTGCCCGCGGAAGGCCTGCTACTCCACTCTCTCATGGCAAGATCTGCTCTTCATATGGGTGAAGCTGTAGTGTAAACAAATCTATATACTCCTTTTCACATGACAGGTTTTGTATGAGATGCTACTAACAAACATGACACATGTATGGTTTTAAAAAAATGTATGCAAAAAGTAATAATAATTTTATGACTATTATAAAATATTTATTGCCTTTCTCTGTAAATACAACTTGATGAATTTATTTGACCTCTTAATAAAAATGAGGACTATATTAAAAACTAAAAGGAAGAAAACCAGCTGTGTAATGGATTTCAGCACGCAGGTGTCCTCCTCCTAAATGGAACGGTTTTGCATTTTGCTCTGACAATCTCCCAGTCTGAAGTCTAATGCTTTATTCATTCTTCATGTCCATGCTTTTTTGAGGGATTATTTGCAAGATATGTCAAAAGCCCTGCTCTGAAATTCTCTCAGCAGTTAAAAGTTTAGCAGGCACCCATGTGTAGACGTCCCTGATTCATACGTGACTATTTTCCCCACTACACATCTTCCATACGTCAAGAGACAAAAGGAAGAATGTGGGTTTTTTGTAGACGGCTATGGTAAATTTCAACCTAGAAGTGCATCGCATACTACGAGGAGTCTGCTGCTGGAATGGACGTGTTTAGATAGGACCGACACTTTTTTGTCATCTGAACTGCCGACAGGCTATGAAAAGGTGAATTGCACTTTAGAAATGAGCAACAAGGTCCAGGAAATGTGTCATCATTAAGTTATGAGGCGCTTAAAGACAGCTAAGAGATTCTCAGACAACATGAGAATTCAAGGATCGTTTAGACTCAAGGTTATGTCAACAGATTCCCTCCTTGCTTTTACATATTGCCTCTTTCATGAAATCAATTAGAACCGGAGGGAGTAGAAGAATGTTCAAAGAGAATGTTCAGAAAGGTATTAAGGTCAATGGAACTATTCCTTTTCCAAATGGATTTCCAAAACTTCTGGTATGAAATCTTGTTCTGGGAGACATTACTTTTGCAGATGACAGTACCCTCATTAGACTGACTGCATTAGCCACGAGAGACACTTTATTCTGCTTTTCAATGTGTCAATAACTGACATTAGCGCATTAGCACAGATGCATGCTCACTGCGCTTTACACATCTGGGTTGCCACTGAAGTGCAAAACTTAAAGCTCTCGACCAAACGTCTGGAATGTTGTCAAGCCTTTGCTTTTTTGCTTTTTCTCTGTTTCATTCCCTCTCTTTTTCCCTCTCCCACTTAGCGACTTCTTTCTGGCAGCCCGATTTGAGCTGTTTCTCCTTCTTTAAAGGAGGAGGATGAGGAATGCAGGGTAGCATGTCTTATAATGTTGTGTTCAGGAATGGTGTTTACAGTAGCAGTCAGACTGAAAGATGGCCGTTTTGAGGAAAAAATGCCTTTTGTTTAACTTCCCACTGATGTTATCAGGCCCGGCTCTATACAGCCACCTACAGCGGGCAAAGACCAGAGGATGGGACGTGGTTCGATTTAGATGTCTGGTGACTTCTCTGTCTTTTCCTTTTCGTGGTGGATAGCGGCACAGAGGTCTCTGCTAACACCATGTCTGGGTCCAAGCCTTCATTACTCAGAATAGACTGAGAAAGAACGAAATATCCTATCATTTTCACACAGACAACTGTCTGGGTATTACAGCTTTAAAGCAACACTCAAAAAGTCAAAGCGTTCTTTCAGGCAGATCTTGTTTTTTTGGCTCTAACACATTTTTGGCGATAGGGGGTGAGAAGGAGGCCCGATGCAAACGCTGATAAGAGAAAAAATGTATTAACGTCTCGACAAAATATGTACACATCAGTGTGACCTCATGGCACTGCATATTCAAGATCAGGATCAGATTAACCTCCTACTTTGAAATTGGACTGAAGAAAAAAGAGTCTGCACCAAAAATGACTTTGTAACAAGCTTAATTTTAGAGTAATGTTCTTTGTCCCAAGAGTAACGAGCTACCCTGAAAGCGTTTGATATCCACGTAGATGGAACCATTCCACAATGATAGCTCTTAAAAAAGTTGAATAAACAGACTTTTAAGAGTCCAGACATCTGAAAATTAAAGAACAGAGAGCGTTTAGCGCGGGGCTCCCGCCAGCTCCTCTCCTTGGGCTTAACCTTTGATCAGTGGAGGATGGCCCTGGAACGGGCCCAGTATGCTGAAATGAAACATAAAATCCCTCCGTGGCACTCCTCCCTTTCAGGACGAGCCTCTGTGAACTCACCGCTGCCGACGGACGGCTATTCATAGGCAAAGGAGGCCCTGACTCCACGGCGGGAGGTTAGAGCACTGAAAGGTTGTGCAGGAACCCCGGGCTTTGCTATCTTTAAGGAGGCCGCTCTTGTGTATCGTGTATATTTTTAGAACAATGCGCAATAAGAACTGCTTTTGGGAAAGCTCATGAAGAAAGAAAGAAAAAAAAGGCAATGTTTTCCACTGACCCTGTCCAAAGCATACTAGTTGACACTTGTTTTCTCTTCTGAATGACAGGCAGAAAATAAGGTGCGTGTAATAGCATGGCGGTCGCCGTCTTGCTGAAGCGTTCGGTGGCTCCGTCAGCTGCGGAGCGAGTGGCCCAGGGACCCGTGCCCAAAAGTCCCTCAGAGTGCTCTCTTCAGCAACCACATACTTAATGAAAGGGCCGTGTCAACAGAAATCTGGTGGCCCAGCCGTTCCCCACACAGAACAACCTTTGTCTCCTTAAATATTACTTAACTTCTCCTCGGGGTTCTGAGGGGGAAGAAACATGCAAAACCAAAATAATGGTTGACCTCTAATATAATCCTGACTGTCACAGCTCGGTGCACCGTGTTTTTTTTCCTCAAGCCGCAAGCTTTCGTCTCCCTCAGTGAAACTGGCGACCGCATCAGGCTGCTCCGTTTTTACTCCGGGACGCACAGAGGCTGTTTTGTGATTCACGCCTGGTTTTTTATGACATCTAGCTGAGGGCTGTTTTTACAGGACTACATTATATTCCAGCAGACGATTATTTTGACAAAGTAGTTTAAAAGTCCCATGTGAAAGCGAGATGATTTGGGTTCATCTTTGGAGACTGAAAGGAGATATGAACAATAGGGAGACAATAATGGTGGGGAAATGGGCTTGGTTGTTTTTGTTACCAGCTTAGCTTGTTTTACTGTCATGTCAACTTTGAATGCAGTTTCAATTAAGTTAATTGGCACCTTAAATTTCCTCCTGGTTTTGCATAGGTTAACATTTACCATGGACCAAACTGATACTTTCCACAGTAAATGTGAATAACTATAATGTAGGGATAGAGAAAAAAAGCCCAGCACCTTACCCCCGCTGTAAGGAGAGAATCTAAATCTTCATGCATATCTCCAGTCCTGGAGAACTGTATACAGTGCAGTCAGTAAGAAATATTGTAGTTTTGGCTCTGTACTCCAGCATATTAAAATAAAAGAATGATCAGGAGGTTAGAGTGAAGATAATCAGCTTTCTTTCAGTCTACGCTAGATGAGAATCAAATAGTCTCCCCCATTTAAATGAGCCATGATTAACTCCACAAATGAACATAAAGCTACACTATGTAAGTTTTGGGAATTTGGAGACCTCTCTGGTGGAAATGTGCAATTGCACACAAAATGTAGAAGAACATTTTGTTACATAGGATGAACTTCTGACCAGTTAATCTGATGATTACATGTGCATTGAAAGAATATTCTACGAGAACTCAAAACCTGGTGAAAGATGCATTTTAAAAGAATATGAGTGATCTACTATTGTCATCATTAGTATAATGTTGATTTTGCATTTGAGAATCAAATGTCGAGCCAGACCCTCTTTTTGAGTCTGTGCAAGTGATGCTGACGTAGTCCAAAAACTCATTATTTCAGGCTTTACAGGGTGACTCTCAGCAGTGCACAGACACCATGGTGTCTATGCACTGCTTAAAGTCTGCAGTTCGTGGTTTTAACCCCATGCTGTATCTTCACTGGTGATGCTCTACTAGGCCTGTAATGTAGCTGTGTTTCGTTCCTACTTGTTTCAGAGGCTTTTTGCTTTCTGTAAGTAAATGCTTGCTCAGTGAAGTTTAGGTTGGGTGCCTGACTTGGCCATTTAAGAATACCCCATTGTTGTCCCTGAACTTAATCGTTGTTTCACATAGTATATTTCAA